ACCCGAGGCCACAATTTGCCTATTTGAAATAGCAAAGGAGTGTGTTGTTGTGGTTGTTTAGATGTCTCCCAAACAGTTTGATTTATGATATCATTAGAAAAAGTACACAACTTCCTTAGGTGACTGCTTGCAGTAAAACAAATACTATTTTGGATTTACCACCTCTTTCATTTTCCTGAATTAATGTAATCAGTTCTATAGACATACCTGGTATTTACTGAGCATTTACCTAAGATTCTGTTTCATAAATTCAGTGAAAAATCTGAAGTGATGATACTGCCACCATTTCAAGGAGTTAATGATTTCATTAGGGAGACAAGGTGACTACATTTATGCAAGTAGAAAACAATATAAGATAGGAAACTGTTTTAAACTAGTGTAATACAGATTGTTAGCACTGTGAAGTTTGGAGAAGAGAAAGTAATTAAAAGAAAAATTACTAAATGCTAGCTACTTTATGTTAATTCCATTTGATCTTCACAGCCATCTTCTAGGGATACATCATAATCTTCATTTTACTTATGAGTAAACGAATGTGTGGAGGGTAAATGACCCACCCAAAGAACTGGAATTTGGTCCCACTTTATTCTGATTCTAAAATCCGTTTTTTTTTTTTCCTTCGCTATGTCTGTCTTCACTGAGAAGAAAGGGTAACTAAGGGGATCAGAGAGGGCCTTTCAGAAAAAAGGAACAGCATGAGAAATGCCTTTGGAGGCAAAATTGAATAAGGATTTTCTGGCGTTGTAAAAGGGAAAACTAGATTAGCACCAAAGATACCTGAGTATAAATACTGGAAAATAAAATGGGACCAGTGAGCTTTGAAAAGGCAGGAAATACTTTGTGCCCTAAAGCAGCACTGTCTAGTACAACTCCTGCAATGATGGAAATGTTCTTTATTTGATTTGAAGGGAAAGAATTGATACATACCCACAGTTTGTCCTCTAACAAGAACTAATACAGTAAAAACTGTTTTGCAACTTAATGTTATCTCCTGTTTCTTTTTTTATATAGGGGCTGCGATTCATCCAGTTGAAAAATCCTTGGAGTCATTTACGTTGGAAAGGAAGATACAGTGAAAATGATGTAAAAAACTGGACTCCAGAGTTGCAAAAGTATTTAAACTTTGATCCCCGAACAGCTCAGAAAATAGACAATGGTAAATATATCTTTTTAATTTTAATACCATTTATTCTTCAAAAAATGTTCTAGCAAAGCAAAATATATGTAACTGACTTAAGTCATTTAGCATTAAGATTTTTTTAGATTAACAAAGGTATTAATTTTCAGGAATATTTTGGATTTCCTGGGATGATCTCTGCCAGTATTATGATGTGATTTATTTGAGTTGGAATCCAGGTCTTTTTAAAGAATCAACATGTATTCACAGGTAACTTTTTGCACATTGAAGAGTATGCTTTATAATAGCCTCACTTTGTTCACTTAAAAACGTGCCAGTCACGTTGGCTCATGCCTATAATCCCAGCGCTTTGAGGGGCCAAGGTGGACGGATCAGTTGAGTTCAGCAGTTCTGGGCGAGGCTGGGCAACATGGCAAAACCTCACCTCTACAAAAAATACAAAAATTAGCTGGTCATGGTGGCGCACACCTGTGATCCCATCTACTTGGGAAGCTGAGGTCAGCAGATCACTTGAGCCTGGAAGGTGGAGGTTGCAGCCAGCCAAGATCATGCCACTGCACTCCAGCCCAGACAAACAGAGCAAGACTCTTGTCTCAAACAAATAAAAATGGAATGGTTAATTTAGGAAGACTAGCATTCCCTCTTTTTTTATTCCCACAGTGACTATCTTGTTAATAGTTTTTTCTTTCCATACTTCCTGGTTATGCCAAAAAAAATTAAAACCAGTAAAAACTAAAAACTCTGATTAATCCACTTTTTGAAATAGCGTTATATTTTAGCTCTATGAGAAATGTAATTACAACCTTCTTTGTTTACTTTATCTTTTAGTACTTGGGATGCTAAGCAAGGACCTGTGAAAGATGCCTATAGCCTGGCCAACAACCCCCAGTACAAACTGGAGGTGCAGTGTCCACAGGGGGGCGCTGCAGTTTGGGTTTTGCTTAGTAGACACATAACAGACAAGGTATTGATACCCTTCTAATGATATCCTATACAGAAATTTTTTAAATATAGTTAGAGCATTGTGAAAGACATATATAATCACCAGCCTGTTTAATTTACATAGGTGCCCTGAAAGTAGTGTTTTCTCAAATAAATATTTTTATTTTCCTCTAAGGAAATTTATATTTTATAATTATACACTTAAAATCTTGTTCAGAAGTCATCTCTGAAGAAAAGTATGAGGGATTTGATGCTTTTTAGTGAGGGTTTGGGGGTGGATGATGTATAGTTTAAATCACTGAAATATGCTGAAGGGAGTTTGGAAATGTTGAATCATTAGTCTTGAATCTGTAAAGGTTAACCATAATCTTAATAGCCTCTGAATCTTATGTAATATATTATTTCATAATATAGATACAGTTGTCATCTATTAAAATGATAATTTAATTCAGAGAAACAGTGTTCCTTATAACATTAAATAGCTGAAAAATGCTCTTAGAGTTATTTTGTTAACTTTAAATAAAGAGCATTTTTTGTGGAGAGCTTAAAAAAGAAAACAAATCGCATTTTCAACCCATTTTCTAACCACATTGGATTCTTTGTGATTTTAGGATGATTTTGCGAATAATCGAGAATTTATCACAATGGTTGTATACAAGACTGATGGAAAAAAAGTTTATTACCCAGGTATGTTTAGTAGCCCAGCAAACATTAAAATAAACATACATTAAGATTTTATTTATATGATTATGTTGAAAAATGACACATTTTATGTAGATAATATAGAGAAATAATTGTGTTGATAGACTAATAGCTCAAGCATATGGAAGGACATTTTTATGCTGTTCTGTGTTTTGTTTTAATTTAGATAAGCCAAGGGAGGATTTCCACCTTCTCGCACATGGCTGACAGAATTTTATTTCTGAGACTTAAATTATGTCTTTGACTGTAATCAAATGTTTTCTGTAGTTTTCCATGAACTCCTGGATAAAATCTAAGCTCTTCAGCATGATACATACAAGGCTTTTTATATTTTGGCCTACTTTCCCCCTTTATTTATGCCTCAGCTTCTCACAGTTGAGATAGTTGCTACTCCAGGATACACCGTTGCCCTTGTTGCCCCTTTTCATATGGAATCTCTCTCCTCCTGCCACATATTCCTTTTTCCTTGTTGCGCTTAACACATGTAGTTAATGTCCAGCCTAAATGCCATTCCTTCCACTGGGCGCCTGAGACATTTAACACATCGTATGAAAACCACTTTGCTTTCACATTTAAAAAAAATGTATATCACTTAATGAGAGAAACTATCTTAAGGCTGTGAAGAATATGGTGAATGAAACAGGACTCTGCTTTCGTAGAGTTTATGTTCTAGTTGTGGAGACAGATAAGCAAAATATCAAGTAGTGATACATGTGTGTAAAAAAGTAAAATAGAGCTATGTGTGAGTGACTGGTTGGTCAGTGGTCATGGATTGAGTAGGGATGGGAAGAGCTATGAATAACAAAAGGAAACAGTCATTCAAAGAAATCAAGGGAAAAGCATTACAGGCAGAGGGAACAGCAAGTGCAGGGCCTTACAGTGAGAAAAGATGATGTGTTTTTGAAACAGAGAATAGGCCAGTTGCCTGGGTAGGTGTGGTACCAAAAGAAGTCAGGAAGATTTGCAGAGGTCAGATCACGTGAGGTTCTGTACACTACAGGAAGGGGTTCAGAGGGTCTTTGGTCATAATCAGGAAAATGACATGTGCTGGCTCCAAATGAAGATGCCAGGTAGGCTGTTGGATTTTTGAATAGAGTTCTAGAGTAAGGAAAGAGATACAGATTGAGGATTCTGGAGCATATAGATGGAATTTGAAGATGGGACTGTATAAATCACTTGTGAAGAGAGTTGTGGGTACAGAGATGAACACCCAGGACCTGACCCTTGGACTCTGAGACATCTTAAGGTTGAGCAGAGGAAAAGGTACCACAAAAGAATGTGAACAGAGGGCCTGATGAAGCAGTGAAGTTTCACATATAACCCAAGCAAAGAACATTTTTCAAGAGGGAAAGAAAGGATAACTGCATCTATTGATGTTTAAGAAATCAAATGAGATTAGGTGAGAGAAGAAACAGTTGTGGAAACTAAATGATTAAGAACAGAAAGAAGGAAACAACAGACACTGAGGTCTACTTGACGTGGGGGGAGGGTGGGAGGAGGGGGAGGAACAGACAAGATAATATTGGATTCTGGCTTAATACCTAGGTGATGAAATAATATGTACAACAAACCCCCATGACACATAAGTTTACCTTTGTAACAAACATTCACATGTACCCCAAAACGTGAAATAAAAGGTAAAAAGAGAAGAAACTATTGGACTTAGCATCCTGGCAGTCATTGTTGACCTTGATAAGAACAGGCTTAGTGGAGAGGTGGGGCTAGAAGCCCAATTGGATTGGTTTTAAAAGACACTGTGGTATAAGGAAGCAGTTGTTGACAGTTCTTCTAAGAAGGCTGTGCAAAGAAATGGGCAGTGATGTGGGAAGATGTTATCAGAAGTGGTTTAAGTCTTACTTTGTTTAATCATAGGAAAGTATAACATTCTTCCCTATTAGACTGTGTTAAGGGCAGGCATTGAGTCTTAGTAGTCAGTATCCCTATGTTCTGGAATGGGCATGGCACCTAGTAGGTCCAGTGACAATACCAAGTTAAACTAGCCAAATTTTCCTTTTTTAAAACAGTGCTCTATCTTATGTGTAGTGATTTTGCCTTTTCAGAATACTTTCGAGTTTATAATTGTATTTTAATTACAACACTTTGCAGTAATAAAGGACAGGCCTTGTTCCCCATTTTTCAGAAGAGTAAACTGAAACATGGAAGGGTTGAAAACCTTGTTCAGGATCCACAGATATGCCAGTTTTTTTTCTCTTCTCACTAGGTCACACACCCCTAAGCATTAGAGACTTATGACTTGTTTGAGATACGAAAATGTTTAGGTTTTCTGATAGGTCCCCATTATAAATATTCAGTGTTCCTAAATAAGCTAAGTGAGAGCATTGATCTTAACATACAGTAATTGACATGCATAAAATAATTGTATCAGGCTTGATTGATGAGCCTATCAAAGAATAGTAGGCAGCATTCTTTTTTTTATATATTTATATTTTTAAAAATATGGAACGCTTCACGAATTTGCGTGTCATCCTTGCGCAGGGGCCATGCTAATCTTCTCTGTATCGTTCCAATTTTAGTATATATGCTGCCGAAGCAAGCACAGCATTCTTTATAGTAACAAAATATTGAAAACAATCTGAATATCCCAATTTTCTAAATAACCAGTTGGAGGTACAGATAAAATGTAATAGTCATATGATAGAATATTATACAAGCAGTTATAAGAAAAAAACTGTCTGTGTAGAACAACATAGATCTTTTTAAAATGTTGAGTAAAAAATGAAAGATATAAGACATATACTATTTTTTTTCTTTTACATATACACTTATACCAGAAACAATTATTTGATCATTTTTAGGAGGGGGTATGTTTGTATTAAAGTCTAAAAAGGTGCTCACCAAATCCATCAATAGAATGGAATAAGATAAGGATGATGGTTAAAAGAGACATTGTTTTATGAAGAGGCTAGGACGATCCCCCCCCCCCCAAAAAAAAAGTTAAATCTGAGTGGTGGGGAATCTAGATATATTTTTATATACGTCTTTTTTTTTTTTTTTTTTTTTCATTTTTTAAAGACAGGGTTTCACCATGTTGGTCAGGCTGGTCTTGAACTCCCGACCTTAAGTGATCCACCTGTGTTGGCCTCCAAAGTGCTTAGATTACAGGCGTGAGCCACTACGCTTGACCATATGTCTTTTTATATTTTTAATTTTATCTCAAAAGAAAAAGCTAATCCTGACTTTAAAATCCTCTCTGGGAGAAAAATGCAACCCAGAACAAATAGTAGGAATTACTGAAATGCAACAGAGCAAATAGTAAGTACTATTATATCTCATTGAATGTATTCAAAAAGATTATTTTTGCATATTAGGAACTGTTTAATTCACTAAGATTATGTTTTAAGGACAGAATCAATTAAGGAGATGTCCATCCAAGTAATTATTTTTCCTACATCAACCATAAAACTTCAAAAACTAAGAAAAAAAACTCCTTTTCTCTAAGCCTACTTGTTTGTTTGCAGCTGACCCACCTCCATACATTGATGGAATTCGAATTAACAGCCCTCATTATTTGACTAAGATAAAGCTGACCACACCTGGCACCCATACCTTTACATTAGTGGTTTCTCAATATGAAAAACAGAACACAATCCATTACACAGTCCGGGTAAGTAAAACCAACACACAATGACAAAACACAATAATATAAAGTACGTAATGTGCTCTGCTTTGTAAGTGGGATCATCTGGAGAAAAAGTTTATTTCTGAAAATGTACTGCCATTTTTGTGCTGATTTTAATAGTAAATTATGCTTTCTGTAGAAAATAATACATTCGAAAAGAAATGTTTTTATTTCGAAAGAACATTTTTATTTTCATAGTAATAGTTTAGTCCTGCGGCAGTATAGTATGTTGGACTAATACATTTCTTTCTTTCTTTCTTTCTTTCTTTCTTTCTTTCTTTTTTTCTTTTCTTCTCTTCTCTTTTCTCTTCTCTTTCTCTCTCTCTCTCTCTCTCTTTTTTTTTTTGGAGACAGAGTCTTGCTTTGTCACCCAGGCTGGAGTGAGTGCAGTGGTGCAGTCTCAGTCCGTTACAGCCTCTGCTGCTAAAGCAGTTCTCCTGCCTCAGCCTCCTGGGTAGCTGGGACTACAGGTGCTGCCACCACACCCAGCTAATTTTTGTATTCTTAGTAGAGATGGGGGTCACCATGTTGGCCAGGCTGGTCTCAAACTCCTGACCTCAAGTGATCCACCCACCTCGGCCTCCCAAAGTGCTGGGATTACTGGTGTTGAGCCTCCATACCTGGCCAGTACATTTGATTTTAAAGCAAGCAATAAAAACTTACTTAGCCTGTTTAACATTTTTATTGACTTAAAGGATTTTGAAGTTAGTAAAAGCGAATCAGTTACCTAGAAACATACTGCTCTCATCTAGCTAGGAAGGTCATTGTAATTTTCTTCCATATAGATTTGTTTGGCTCTACATAAGCAACTCAATTTGAATAGATTTTTAGTGATTAAAGCAATTGGGAGCTGCTGCCACCCCTTCATTTTTCGTATGCAGAAGCCACAGCCTGGAAAAATTGTGATTTGCCCTGAGTCATACACAGTTAGTAGCAGAGAAAGCCCAAGATAAGACCTCCAGCTTCTCAGTTGCCAGCTCATTAATCCACTGCCTATAGAATAATGACTTGTATATGCCAACTGGTTTTTTATTCTTCCAATATATTCATGAATCACTTTGATGTTCTTGTAAGTGTAAAATTGATCAATACAGTCTTTTTTTATATATATATCTAGGTATATTCAGCATGCAGCTTTACTTTTTCAAAGATTCCTTCACCATACACTGTATCAAAACGGGTAAGTACATTCATTTGGTTATAGTTATAATCTCAGCATTCTTTTAGAATGTTTAAATTCCCTTTTCCATTTCTCTCATTTTATATTCAGCAATTTATTATGAAATAAAAACATGCTAAGGCTTCACAGGAATATCAGAGAAACCTAAGTGGCCTTCAATTTGGGTTGAAATACAAGATCTTCAGTGAGCAACATCTGTGAAAAGAAACAAATTCAGAGAAAGAAGGTTAATGCAAACTTTGGTGGTTAGAGAAGACTATGTGGATGAACCTTGAAAGTAAAATTTGAGACTAACTTTGCAGGGTGGGCTAGATGTGTAGACAGGATTCTATGGAAGATTCCTGGTAGAGAGAACAGCTTGATTAGAGGAAAGAGATGGAAATAGGGTTTAGTCTAGCAAATCAGCCTGGCTGTCAGCAGCAAATATAGAGCCACAGAGTGGAAAATTGCCTTTTTTTTTTTATTTTTTGTTTTTTTTGAGACGGAAAGGAGTTTTGTCTGTAAGTGGAATTGGAGAATTAAATTTTGTTAATACTAAAACTTTGTTCTTACTAGATTAATGGGAAGTGGAGTGGTCAGAGTGCTGGAGGATGTGGAAATTTCCAAGAGACTCACAAAAATAACCCCATCTACCAATTCCATATAGAAAAGACTGGGCCATTACTGATTGAGCTACGAGGACCAAGGTTTGTGATGAGTAATTTTCTTAAATTAATGATGCTCTATTAAAAATGAACATAGTAAAACAGAAAAAACTTTAGAAACAAACCTAAGCATATATGGACATTGTACTTACAACAATGACATTGTAGTAGTGTCAGGAAGGGACAGTCTTTTCAATAAATGATGTGGAATAATGAGCATCCATGTGTAAAAAGGGTAATTAGAACCCTGTTTCACATCAAATCTAAAAACTCCAGGTGGATTACAAACCTAAATGTGAAAGGTAAAACAATACAGCTTCTATACGATAATGCAGGAAATGTCTTAACCTCAAGAGAGGAAAGATTTCTTAAATAAGACAAAGAGCATATTACAAGATTTGTAAATATGCTACATTGGTTAAAAAAAAATCTGCAGTTTTTTAAAAATAAACAAAAACATGTCACAAATGGGGCAATCCAATGACGAGTAAACCACTGTAATAGCCACAAATTGGAAACACATTTGTTCATCAGCAACATTTAAGATTATAATATAGTCATATAATAGAGTCCTGATATAACAATTGAAATAAATTACAGCTACACACAGCATGATAGATAGGTCTTAAAAACAATGCTGAGCAAAAACCACACGTACAGAATATATACCGTATGATTTTACTTCTGTGAAGTCAAGAACAGAAAACTAAAAGACTTATATAAGGATGCACACTAAGGTAGTAAAACTGCAAAGCAGAACAAGAGAGTTATTAGCATAAAAGCTCTGTGTGGGGACAGGAGTTGCAATTAGGAATATACAGGTAATTCTGTGGTGCTGAGAGGATATGTTGATCTGAGTGGTGGTTACCCAGGTGTTTATTCACTTTGCAAATGATTTATTAAGCTGTATGTATGTTTTACATAAGTGTCATATTGCATAGTTTTAAAAGGTTTAAAAAATACAGAGGATATAGCCTGGGCATGGTGGCTCACACCTGTAGTCCCAGCACTTTGGAAGGCCAAGACAGGCGAGTTCAGGAGTTCAAGACCAGCCTGAGCAACATAGCAGAACCACATCTCCACAAAAACTTGTAAAAAATTTAGCCAGGCATGGTGGCATGTGCTTTTATAGTCCCAGCTACTTGGGAGGCTAAGGTCGGAGGATGACTTGAGTCCAGGAGGCAAAGGTTGCAATGATCCTAGATCATGCCACTGCACTCCAGCCTGGTCAACAGAGTGAGACCCTGTCTCATACAACCACCACCAAAAAAAAAAAAAACAAATAAAAACAGAACTACCTTCTAAATAAAATTGGGCTTAATTTTGCTTTTCTTACAAACTAATCCAGCAGCAGTTAATAACCCTTTAGATATGAAGATATGATTAAGCTATTTTTCCACAAGAAAGTCATTTTTAAAATCTCTACCACTTTGATAGGTGCACTAGGCAAATAGGTTCCTGTTTGCTCTTTTGTAGTTAATTTCTAGATAGATTGAACATGTACTAATGTTCATTGACTATTCATGTTTCTTGCCTGTAGAGTTGTCATTTTTTTAATTGTAAACATGAATAAGATAAGGATATTAACTCCTTCACATATTTGCAGATGTTTTTCTCAGATTGTCATTTTTCTCCCACATAGAAAAACATTTCATTTTAAAGTAATCAAATCTGTCTCTGTTTTGTTTTGTTGTTTTTTTTGCTGTGGACAGGAACTCTCACATTATCAAATTAATTTTCACCATATTCTGATTATTTTGTGGTTTAACATTTTGCATTTTAAAAATTCATATGAATATATTTTTATGTTTGGTATGAAATACAGTTTAACAGTTTTTTTCTAAATGTTTTGTTACCTCATCACCAGCTAAATGAATCCTTCTTTCCTTACTGATTTGGAATGCCATGTTTATCATGTGCTAATTACTTCTGTAAATTCAGATTTTATTTCAGGGCTTTCCTGTCCCATAGGCCTTTCCACCTGTCATAATAACAATATTTTTAATTATTCCCTGTGGCTAGGTACAGTGGCTCAAGTGTATAATCCTAGTACTTTGGGAGGCCAAGGTAGGAGGATGGCTTGAGCCCAGAAGTTCCAAACCAGCCTGGGCAGCATAGTGAGACAGACCCCCATGTACAAAAAAGAAATTAATTAGCTAGACTTGGTGGTACATACCTGTAGTTCCAGGTCCTGGGGAGGCTAAGGTGGGAGAACCCCTTGAGTCCAGGAGGGTAAGGCTGCAGTAAACCACGATTGCTCCACTGTACTCCAGCCTGGGTGACTGAGACCCTGTCCCAAAAAAAAAAAAACAAAGGCAAGGCACAGTGGCTCACACCTGTAATTCCAATACTTTGGGAGGCTGAGGCTGTCGGGATCACCTGAGATCAGGAGTTCGAGACCAGCCTAGCCAACATGATGAAACCCTGTCACTACTAAAAATACAAAAAAATTTAGCCAGACATGGTGGCATATGCCTGTAGTCCCAGCTACTTAAAAGACTGAGGCAGGAGAATCACTTGAACCCAGGAGGTGGAAGTTGCAGTGAGCTGAGATCATGCCACTGTACTCCAGCCTGGGCAGCAGAGCGAGACTCCGTCTCAAAACAAAAATAAAATATTTCCTGGCCAGGCCTCACGCCTGTAATCCCAGCACTTTGGGAGGCCGAGGCGGGTGGATCACGAGGTCAAGGATTGAGACCATCCTGGTCAACATGGTGAAACCCCGTCTCTACTAAAAATATAAAAATTAGCTGAGCATGGTGGCGTGCACCTGTAGTCCCAGCTACTTGGGAGGCTGAGGCCGGAGAATCATGCCACTGTACTCCAGCCTGGGCAGCAGAGCGAGACTCCATCCCAAAACAAAAATACAATATTTCCTGGCCAGGCCCTCACGCCTGTAATCCCAGCACTTTGGGAGGCCGGGGCGGGTGGATCACGAGGTCAAGAGATTGAGACCATCCTGGACAACATGGTGAAACCCCGTCTCTACTAAAAATACAAAAATTAGCTGAGCATGGTGGCACGCACCTGTAGTCCCAGCTACTTGGGAGGCTGAGGCAGGAGAATTGCTTGAGCCCAGGAGGCAGAGGTTGCTGTGAGCTGAGATCCTGCCATTGCACTCCAGCCTGGGTAACAAGAGCAAAACTCTGTCTCAAAAAAAAAATTTCCTGGGGAGGCTATGGCAAAAATAGTCTCTCTTAAAGTAAGTTTAATCCAGTGTGTTAATCTTTTAAGGCTTCAACTGAAATATATAAATGGTGTTTTGTATGATTAAGAACAAAAATAGAGTGCATGTGTTTCAGAGTACCATTTCTCTCTTCTGAAACTTCAGAAACATGCTTAATATGACATCTTCACTTCAGTTATTTTAAATCACATGTTTGAGACTATTAATACAGTAATTTTATTTATTTTAAACATTAGGCAATATAGCGTTGGATTTGAGGTTGTAACAGTTTCTACTCTAGGAGATCCTGGACCCCATGGCTTTCTGAGGAAATCTAGTGGTGACTACAGGTAATGTTGACATTTTTATTCTAATTTATACTTTACTTTTTGTGGCATCATCTTCTATAAAAGTTATCATTCTCTCTAAATATAGGTGTGGGTTTTGCTACCTGGAATTAGAAAATATACCTTCTGGTGTCTTCAATATCATTCCCAGTACCTTTTTGCCTAAACAAGAAGGACCTTTTTTCTTGGACTTTAATAGTATTATCCCCATCAAGATAACACAACTTCAGTGATGGAGAAATCTCAACAGTTACTGGCTTTTATACCTACCAAACATCAACTCTTCAAACAAGGACACAAATCTTCTGAACAGTAAACAGAACAATCAGAATGGAATTAAATCTCTAAAAACGTGTTACAGTGGAATTTGGTGCTTGTTCAGGGTGTTTGGTAAGAACTGAATATAGTCAGAATGACCTAAATCACCTAGAGGTGCTGTTTACATGGTTTTGTGTGTATAAAGTTGGCTTGCATTTTACAGGCCATTTTGTATTAAAAAATGCATATGAATAAGATTAGACTCGGTCATCATTGTGAGATGCCTTTGCTAAGAGGATAAAGGAACTGAGACTGGATGAGAAAAAGAAGGGATATAGATTCCTTGAGTGGAATGGTGGGCTAGATTAATATACTGAAATATTTATATTCTTTCCCTTTGTTGCAGAGCATGTGGAAATTAAACCTGCTTGATTCTACTATACATCTTGGGCAACTAATTACCAAATGAATTGTGCTACCATAACTGATTTTAATTTTGTATTGTTTATTATTTTAAATGTCTGTTGCCCAGATGTTATAAAAGAATAAAGCTCTTCAGAAGTACAGACTACCTTAGCATGAAGATGCTCATGCCTAAGAATGAAAATTGTTGGATATCTCCCATTCAGTCATGTAGCGAGAACTTAGAGAAATTCAATACTGCAGTTTTTATTTTTTAAAAAACAGTAGTTGAGATATTGAACGACATTACAATTTAGTTTGTATGGTCTATTTTAAAATTGCTGTATAGTTCAGTGCTCTAGTGGCAATAGCACTTTGAAGAAAATAGAGAATATATGGTGATTGGGTTATGTAGCATTCAGAAAAAGTGAATTGCCAAGATACTCATGTCATGTAAATTCCCACTTTACATAAAACCCATCAGGACAGAATGATGCTCAATATTTAAAAATTCTAAAAATCAGGTGGGATTTTTCATTGTCTCTACTTTATAATTATGAAAACTTATTTTGTATTACTACTACCATAAATTGAAATAAAATGTTTATACTTATGGATACTGCATAGTTTAACTTCGATTTATTCAAAGATTTCATCTATCATATTTAATGTAAATGAGAACAGATTTGCATGAAAATATATACTTCAACAAAAATCTCTTATTTTACAGAGTAGTGGTAGATGATTACACTAATGAGATTGTACTTTGGTAAGTATTTTGTGCTTTTAGTTTTAGCCTATTAGTTTGAGGTGGACTAATTTGACTAGTTTTCTGTTACTCTTTAAAAAGAAAAAATCCAGAACATAAGAACTATATTATAAACACGATTTGAACCTCTTGTGGTAAAGATCTTGTACAGGATGCAAACTGAAAACCTAATCCCTGCCATCAAATCTATTAGAAGAGACGTATATCTGAACAACCTAACTGTGGTACTGATTTCTGTAATGGAGCTCTAACAACATGCTACCAGTGTATGAGTAAAGGAAAGATTAATTTTTGCTGGACCAATATAAAAAATTTTATTGGCAAAATTGATACTTTATCTTGGACCTTGAAGGGAAGGCTTCAAAAGACAGACTACTGACAGTTACTGAGTGTTTACTGTGTACCCAATGTGTATATATATTTTTTTAATCTTCCCAATAGCTGAATAAAATACAGATACTATTATTTGTACTTCTTAAAAGATTTTGCCCCAGGTTCACAAACTGTCTTTCCTGAGGCCCGATTTAGCTGCTATGTGTGTCTAATGACACCCACAGACACAGCCCTCTAGTTGGGGGAGGGACAAGATCCAGACCTGTTGTAGAGGGAGGGAAAACAATCCAGGCCCTTCTGAGGTTCTAAATGACGGTGAGATAGACTAGTCAGGAGTTGTTAGTGAGAGAATGACTGTTTCTAATTCAGTACAGGGACAGATGTGCGTAGCTTCAGTGAAGGTAAGTTTTGACACATTAAAGTAAAATTGCCCATAAAAATCCAGATCTGGAATCAACATGGTATAGTCAGCGAGATGCAAGACTAACAGGAGATGCAAGAAGCCAAGGGGATGGGGGAGGATGAAGAAGCCCAGTGAACAGAACTCCCAGAAGAGTATAATTAAATGTCAGATGTGGTGAAAATAGAGGCCACAGTGATGGCAGACTATGTGAAACTAGAAATTTGAAAGGCGATAGTGTGAGAAGGGAGCCCTGGTCAAAAGGTGGTCTGCATCCCTTTCTGGTGTAGGAAACAAGCAGGTGGTAGGCCGATGGGAAAGAGGGATTGAGGCAGGAAACAAGATATTAAGTCCTAATGCCCAAATAAGGAATACTCCAGCGACACTGACTGCCTAGGCTTTGTGTTTTGTAAAAGCAAGGAAAAGCCCCAATGTTAGAAAATCCCATCCCACTTTCATTCTCTGCAAGAAGTACTTAGAAATTTCTAGTTGACTGTTTAACTTGACTCTGCTGTAAAAACTTTATCCTACTTTATGCTGTTTTACAGATGGTGTTTTTTCTAGAAGGAAAACGAATTGCCTCAATTGCAGGGAACAGTTTTTGCTAACAGTAAATCAAGCAAGTCTCAGTGTCTGTATTACAGATCAAAGGGTGCGAGGAGATTTTATGAGAACCAAATGAACCCTGAAGGTCACTAGTCAAATTCAGGTATGCTGTTTAGTGTTCTTGTTTGAGACCAAATTATGAGACTGGCCAATTTTTGTATTTTTGGTAGAGACTGGGTTTCACTGTGTTGCTGAGGCTGGTCTTGAACTCCTGGGCTCAAGTGATCCACTGGCCTCAGCCTCCCAAAGTACTGGGATTACAGGCTTGAGCCACCTCGCCCGGCTGGCTGTTTAATGTTCTTAAATAGCACAAGAGACTTCTATGAACTTTCCTAAATGAAATATTTAGTAGGTAAAACATCTGTAAATATTTCTGAAACTTAAACCTCGATTGGCCAATGAAGGACCTTTTTCTCCACAGCATGTTTTAATAATGAAATGCAGATTAAGAGTCCACCATTATAACATTTCCACAAGACAAAGGATCCACCTGATTCTCAACTCTGAATGCACATTTGAAATCCCCTTGGGGAGCTTTTAAAAGTCTGATGCACAAGTGTACCCCCAGTTAATTAACTCTGGGGAAGAGACCTGACAGCAACACTTAAGCTTCCTAGGAGACTGCAGTGTGCAGCTGAGGCTGAGGACCATTCCTCCAGCATCACCACATCATCTTTATTTATCTGTCACTGTGTCTCCTCATTGCCCATAGCTTTAGCAGCAGCAGAAGTAGAACTCAAACCTTGGTAATCAAGGCTTAAATTACTACTGTTCTTCAAAACCTTAATTGAAAATGATTACTGGTGACCACAGCACTCCATGTTCTTCCTTATGGCAAGAGGGTGGCATAGAAGATTTAGACAATACTGGGAGTTCTTATTTGAAGTCACAGAGGAAACTTTTCTCAAGCGGTTTTTATTACACTCAATGTATTAAGACAAGTACAAAATAACCTTGTAATTAGGATACTGTATCAGTCAAAAAAGGAGGAGTCACTGTTGTATGAAGAGATTTACAAATGACTAAAATATACAGGCTGTGACAGAATTAACAATTTGAAAGAGGGTTTTTTTTAGAAATGCTAAATTTTCTTAACAAAACGAGACAAAAATACAGTGCTCTAAATATGCATTACCATGAAAACATTAAAGAAAAGCAGTCTTAACACTTACTACTATTAACATAACAGACTCTGTTGCTTCTATTTAACAGCCTTTGCCAACACATGCCCACTCCCTTTCCTAGCTTTAAAGAAGTTTCCTCTAAGGAATACTAGTGCAGCATAACCCTTAAATAATTTCGTTTATTTTTAAAGTTACAACCTACAGATAAATTAACACCTTGTCAATCTAATAACAGTGGCAACCATTCTTCACATGCACTTCTCTTAGAATAAATCCCCTTAGCCGGCAGAATAAGGTTTATGCTGTAGAACCTTCTCCCCCACAGCCACAGATTCCCTTCTATGATAAGTCCCTCCTACCCTCATGCCCCCCCCATCCCCACTGGCATTCACCTTCCCCATCCCAAAAAGTGCAGCTCTTGGTAGCCTTTCTAGAAATGGTTTTAATGGGTATCTTAGCATACACGCTTTTTAAAAAGCCCCCTCTGAACACCAGAGGTGATGAAAATGAGTTGTGTTCTTGGATTTTTTTAAGCCTCCACCGGGTCAAAAATATGTGCTCTCAATACTTGAGTTTTTGCTTTGTATGTGGGTTTTCCTTATCATTTAGCTATCATGGGGTAAAAGTGGAGTGAAATCTCCATTTTCCCATTCAAAATTGAGGGTGAGAAGAGAAAGAGAAGCAAGCTGTTGGCCCCACTTTGGCTTAGCTTCCCAGCCATCTTCCCAGCTCTGGTTCTTTCATAGGAACTAGTTATTGCTTCCACAGTGCCATTACAAGGAATGTTCCACAAAGGCTGTGAACCTGGTCACAGTCTGCCTGCGACAACTCTGCTCTGAAAAACAAACCAGCTCAGGACTCTTACCCAGAACCATCTTCAGCCCTCAAGGTCACTGAAACTTCATTAGTGCAGTTTAGAGTAGACGCGTAAGATTTGGCATATATTAAATGATTATTGGCACAATGTTCTCCAGTTCCATGTATAAATGTTGATACGCACATGGGCAGGGCCCAGGATGAATC